TTTTTTTTAAATCGATGTCTCGCGATTAAAAAAAAAACAATTAGCGTATTTTCAAATGCCTATCGTTAATAATTATTGGTCTTTCAACAGTCCGATAATTATTTATCTTTAAACTTCCTTTAATTATCAACTTTATTTTTTTATTGTATCAAAGGTAAGTGGATAAACTTATATACTGTTTATCAAAGATTAAAAACAAATTTATTTAAATATTCTAAAATTGTTTATACAACAATTATTTTGAAATATGTAATCAATTAATTAATTCATTAATTATTAATTTAATCATCATTTCTTTTGTGATTAAAGTATAGTTCAAATATTATTTATTGTTTAAAATATAAGCAAATGAGAAATTAACTCATTATATTAGAAAAATACAAAATTATAGTACAAAAATTCGACCAATGTTTAAACAAGCGCCAGAGCTCTCCTAATTGACGGATTCGAATTTTTCAAAAGGTGTTTGAAATCTTGAGAGCCCTTCTATATGTGGTTAAATTTTAAAGTTTTTGCTATGCAAAATTTTAAAAATTTGCAAATTTTTTTTCAAAATCTGGATTGCAAAATTATTATGCAAAATTTTGATGAAATTTGGTGTGATGGTTCTACATAACATGAACTTTTCTTGAACTTTCTTCTATGAAGGTCCTATACCCAACTTAAAGACCCAAAAAAAATCCCTAAAAAGTAATGTTTTTTAACCCCATTTTTGGCGAGTTTTTCGATTTTTACAATAATAATCATGATTCATTCGATTTGTGATTAGTCATATATTGTAAAATTTAATTACAAACATTTTCTTTCTCTTTCATTTTCGCCTAAAATCAACTCTTGAAAAGATACATAATTAAATAGGAAGAAAAATATGACATTTTACGAATTTTTTTAATATATTGTGCCGCCAAATGTTAAGCCTACGTTTTTTTTATGCGCATAGAAAAATTTTCATTTCTACTGATATTTTAAAGCCAAAAAGCCAAAAATCTACGTGGATATACGATTTACCCAAATATGGACTCTGTGAAACAGATACCGTTTGGACTATATTTCTAAGTGCGAGACATCTATTGGCTATATTGTAGGAATTTTATATTTTTCCCGTGTTTTGAATTCCTATTTCTTTGGTTGTAAATAGTTTATAGTGTAACAAAATTGTTGTAATAGTGTGTTATTTTCATTTGTGGTTAGTGTTTTATTACAGTGACTCAAGATCACAAATTGGTGAATTGNATATTGTAGGAATTTTATATTTTTCCCGTGTTTTGAATTCCTATTTCTTTGGTTGTAAATAGTTTATAGTGTAACAAAATTGTTGTAATAGTGTGCTATTTTCATTTGTGGTTAGTGTTTTATTACATGACTCAAGATCACAAATTGGTGAATTGATATACGGCGAATGTTGACAAAATGCTGGAGCAGCTCAATATGTTGGCACTTCTACATAAAAATGGTCTGATTTTTTTTTATACTATTAAAATTAACAGAGTTTAGGATGGCTAGAAGTAAGGGGATGATTTCAGAAATTCAGCTGCCAACTGTCAATTTTGCCAATCTGGCATGAGAATTGAATTCAGCTCCCTCAAAAGCCCAAACTCTCAATGTGAAAAGAGAATATTTACTTTTCTATTCTTCGTTGACAGTGTATTGACAGCTGTCAACGGTCAATTTGTCCAATCTGACATGAGGGTTGAATCCAGTGACCTCAAAAACATTACCCTATATATTAGAATAATTAAAATATGCTTTTGACATCTGTAAATAGTATTGAAAATGAATAGTTTTGCAACGGGTCAGGGGAGCTTTGGCAGCTCCGTAGCTGCCAAAATGTTCATTTTGGCACTTTGTGCCCATGGAGACTTTTGTTCAGGATGACAAAATCTACAACATATCAAAAATTCAGACAATTTGACAGAAACCCAATTTCCATAAGATTATTGCGGGGTCCTTT